ATGTAAAATAAATGGACTTTTTTTTAGATAGATACCATATACCAAAATGAAATCAAGACCAAGTGAGCAATTTAAATAGACCTATAAGCCACAAGGAGATAGAGCTGTTTCAAAAACCTCCCAACCAAAAGAAGCTCAGGGCCAGATGGCTTTAGTACAGAATTCAACCAGAACTTTCAAGAAGAGCTACTACCTATACTCCTTAAAGTGTTCCACATAATAGAAACAGAAAGGTCACTGCCAAACTCTTTTTATGAGGCTATAGTTACCCTGATACCAAAAGCACACAAAGACTCAACCAAGAAAGAGAATTACAGAATCTCACTCATGAACATGGATGCAAAATTTCTCAATAAAATATTGGCAAACAGAATCCAAGAACACATCAAAAAATCATTCATCGCTCCTTCTGCTCCTCATTGGGACCTTGGGAGCTCAGTCCAGTGTTCCAATGTGGATCTCTGTCTCTATCTCCATCCATCACCCGATGAAGGTTCTTCATTGTGACAAAGTTAGCCATTTGGGCAAGAAACTGATCATTTCTGGACTTCTTGATGTTATATTGTAAGAACTGGACATGCAGGACCCACAAAAAAAGACTGCTGAACTTGCCAAAGGTGAGATGATCCTTTGGAGTTTCTGTTTCATGAAAGAACTGCCAAGCATTCTTGAATTCCAGCCCCTAGTAGGCAGAGATGAGAGAATCTCTATAGATGTGAGGCTGCCTGGTGTACATAACAAGCTGCAGCATCCATGAAATCAAATTGTGTTCAGGTCTCAGGATTATGCTTCTCACTAAAAACATTCAACCTGTGCAGGAGCCCATCACTGGAAAAGAAAGATCATGTGAGGTCTACAGTCACCCACCTTCCAGAGATTGCCCTGTTCTCTGAAAACAGGGTGCCTGAAGGAAAGCCACTCACCTCTGCATATTGGATGCATCTCTGATGCTGGCTGCTGGATAAAACCTCAGTGGCCATTGGGACCTATAACCCACATTTCACTAAACTTTATAAGATGGGGAGAAAAAATAAATAAATAAAAGAAAAAAATCATTCATCATGATCAAGTAGGCTTCATCCCACAGATGCAGGGCTTGTTCAACGTATGAAAATCTAACTATGTAATTCATCATATAAATAAACTGAAAGAAAAAAACCACATGATCATTTTATTAGATGCTGAAAAAGCATTTGATGAAATTCAACACTTCTTCATGATAAAGGTCATGGAGAGATTAGGGATACAAAGATCATATTGAAATATAATAAAAGCAATATATAGCAAGCTGACAGCTAACATCAAATTAAATGGAGAGAAACTCAATGCGATTCCACTAAAATCAGGAAAAAGACAAGGTTGTCCACTATCTTCATATCTCTTCAATATAGTTTTTGAAATTTTAGCAATAGCAATAAGACAACATAAGGAGATCAAGGGGATTCAAATTGGAAAGGAAGAAGTCAAACTTTCGTTATTTGCAGATGATATGATAGTGTATATAAGTGACCCTAAAAGCTCTACCAGAGAACTTCTACAGCTGATAAATACTTTCCGTGATGTGGCAGTATACAGAATCAACTAAAAAAAAGTCAGAAGCCCTCCTATACACAAAGGATAAAGAAGATGAGAGGGAAATCAGAGAAACATCACCTTTCACAATAGCCACAAATAACATAAAATATCTTGGGGTAATACTAACCAAGGAAGTGAAAGATCTATTTAGCAAGAACTTTAAGTCTTTGAAGAAAGAAATTGAAGAAGATAATAGAAAATGAGAAGATCTCCCATGCTCTTGGATAGGAAGAATCAACATAGTAAAATAGCAATTCTACCAAAAGCAAGCCTATGTATATTTTTTAAACATACTGCATCTCATTTAGAGACCTTTTATGTCTGAATCTGTCTTATTGTATATCTGAAATCCTTTTCTGACTAGGACCACTTGTAAAAATACAAAGTGACATTACTAGGACTAAGGCTGCTTTGCCTTTTGGCTTCGTCCAGTTCAACATGTCAGAGGTCCATTTATTGCCTCTGAGAGCCATTTTCTCTGCTCCAGATCTATAGTCACAGCAGGTCTTTGTTGCAATTAAGCAAAATGTAGCACTCTGCTCACAGACCCCATTTAAATGCTCTCTAGATCTCGTCCACCTGGATAGAGGTGGGCAGTCCTTGGGCTTCCCACAGGTCAGGGAACCCTGATTGCTCTTTGAGCAGATGAGGGAGGGGGAATTGATCGGGGGAGGGGGAGGGAAATGGGAAGCGGTTGTGGGGACGAGGCAGAAATCCTTAATAAATAAATAAATTAAAAAAAAAAAAAAAAAAAAAAAAAAAAAAAATAAATGCTCTCTAGAAGGACCACTGAAAGAGTCAGAGCTGTTTGTGCTGGCAGACCTGGAAGTCACTGCTTTGAAATCTCATGGTTTCTGCTGCTATTGCTGAGTCAGGAAACCTCATAAAAGAATCGTGCCTCTACTTGTTTCTAGCAAACAAAGCCCACCCAAGAAAATGCTTAACTCTGTTTTTTGTGTCTAGAATTACTTTTTAAGCATTCTCAGGTTTTATGTCATCCACGTTGGCATGCCACTTTGTTGTATGAGGCTGCTTATTTTTTTTCCAGCTGCTCAGCTCTAAAATAACCACACAGAAATTGTACTAATTAAACACTGCTTGGTCTTTTAGCTCTAACTTTTTATTGGCTATTTCTTATATCTCAGTTTAACATATTTCCATTATTTTATATTTTACCATGAGACTTTTGCCTACAGGCAAGGTTCCACCTAACAGCTCACATCTTTCCCCTTTGATGGCTACATGGCGTCTCCTGACTCTGCCTTTTTTCTCCCAGCATTTGGTTTAGTTTTCCCTGCCTAGCTCTGCCCTGCTATAGACTCAAAGCAGCTTTTTATTCATCAATGGTAATCAAAGCATAAAGACGGGACTCCTACATTCTCTATAGCAGACATGTTGCTCAGTACCTCATCTCTCTGAATGGCCCATCTGCTCCATGCTGGCTTGAAACACTCTCTTATGCCTAGGTCATAGCAAAGTATCTTCACACAGTGTACAACTATCCCACTACTGAGTCTAACTATACAGCCTGAATTGACCTCACAATGTCACCCTATGCAGATATACTGATCTTACAGGGTCTCACTGCATTTCAGGTTGACTTCATTTTTGCATTGATCCTTCTGTTTGAGCCTCATGAATGCTGGGACCGTCATCATGATTCATCATGCCTCACTTGATTTCTATCTTTTTATTAAGTCTTCAGTTAATCTCTCTTGATTTCCCTTTCCTTTTCTCTTTAGACTACTTCCACTCTGAACCAGTCCATTTTCTACATTTTATATTGTATTCATCACATTGTATTATTTTAAAACAATTGTATGATTTATGTATCAGTTAAAAAATCTTAAGATATGTTTAAAGACACATGAATTCTAGGGTATATTTTCTTGCACTGTAGTTCCCCTCTATGTTGTTCAGTAGAGCTTTGGTTTTATTCCTATAGTTATTATGCCTAAAGTCATTGCTATTGAATATATAATCCATTTCTGTCTTTTAAACTTTGCTTTCCACAGGTTGAGGAAAATGAAGTAATTTACTACTATTTTTTTCTTTTTGTCTTGTTCCTGTTAATTCTGTCATACCATGATAAGGTCAGAGTTTATATGTCAAAGCTGGTGCTACTTTAACTACATGAGGAAAACAATAGTAAAATTTCTAGAACAGTATTCAATAAAAAGGCACAATTCAAACTTCTATGAGCTATTATGTACTTTTTAGAATATATGTATGTACAGAGCAGTAGTTATGTATTTCAGTGCATAGGAAATGACAATATGATTCAAGAAACAAGATAAAGGACAAAGAGAAGATATGTGTGAACAAAAGGTTTCAAGATGTCCTCTTGAACTTTACACAGAGGCTCAAGTGGAGATCTTCACCAGGCAGTGACAAGCTTTCTAGGCAGGATTGACTTCACCTGAAGATGGATGTTGGGGAAGGTCAGCAGAGTATAAGGGACTGGGTTTGTATATCATCACTTACCAAGGGCAACTGAGGAAATAAAGGGAATAAAGTTATTCCATTCTACAGTGAGGCAAAAAAAAAACACAAAAATAAAGAAAAAATCCTTTCTAAAGTAAAGAAATGAAAAAAAAGAATGGAATTGGTCTATGACTTAATACACGCTCAACCATTGCCCCTTCATGTGAGATGGAAAGTCACCAACTACAATATTCAGTCTGTGAAACAGAACCTTCTCTATTTTCTTTTTTTTGAGACTGTCACAGGTTAAAATAAATCCATACACTATGAGCAGAAGTTTATTCAAGTAAAATATGAAACATACATGAGGCATTACCAATTTATAGCTTTCTTTCTTTTTTCCCTCATCTTAGATAAGTAAATTGAATGGTCACTGGTTATTAGTCAACCTCAAACTAAGAGCAAATTACATAAATGACACTGTTGTACAAAATGATTACCCAAAATTTATAGTCAGGAAAAATAAAAAGACATGAAGATAATAAGGTAGAATTAACAGAAAAATGTTGTCAAATTCAGTGTGGGGAGAATCTGTAGGAAATATTAGAAGGAAGCTGGGTGGTGGAAAGATTTCTTTGTTGGCAAGAGTCATAAATCCATTACTTAAACTATTTCAATTGACAAATCAGTGAACAGAGAACTCAGGGTAAATGATAAAATGGTGTAACAACTTATGACTGTAAGTAACAGAGATCATATTAGACAGATCTTCTTCAACTAGGCATTTCCAGAATAACTTACACATCGTTTGGAGGAAGCTGTAGTCAGGACTCAGTGTCAATCTTTCCTACTTTGACTACTCCACTATACCTCTTACCTTTTATGTATTGAACATTTAGGTAGCATGCCCATTGGTGTAGGTTCTATGGTGAGGGACAACATCTGATAAAATATTAACATAATTATGTTTATTATAGAAAATTAGGTGAAAATCACAAGTGTTACCATTGCAAAAAGTTTTTCTTATTGCAGAAAACTTTTATCAGGGCCTCCTTGATGTCTCTGTTCCTCAGGGTATAGATGAAGGGGTTCAGCATAGGAGTCACCACTGTGTACATCATAGCCATTATAATCTCTTTCACAGTAAAGTTATTATTTGATGGACTTAAGTAGAGACCAATAGCTGTCCCATAGAATAGAGAGACCACAGATAAGTGGGAACCACAGGTGGAGAAGACCTTGTGTATACCCTGGGTAGATGGAACCTTGAAAATAGAGAAGACAATCTTTGCATAGGACATAACAATGAGTAGGAATGGTATAATACCAAGGAGACAACTCATGATGAATATCATTAACACATTAATGTAAGTGTCTGAGCATGCTATCTTCAGGAGAGCTGATATTTCACAGAAAAAATGGATAATTTCATTGTTTTCACAAAAAGACAATCTCACCATGAGTAGGGTGTGCATCAAGCCATGTAATGTGGTCAGTAACCACAGTGACAGCAATAGACAAACACAGAGTTTGGGACTCATGATGCTGGTGTAATGAAGGGGGAAGCAGATGGCCACATAGCGGTCATAGGCCATGACCACAAGAAGGAAACTCTCCATGTCTGCAAAAATCATGAAAAAATACATTTGTGTCAGGCAAAACTCATAGGTGATGGATAGATCCTGGGTCTGCATGTTCTGCAGCAATTTGGGCATTGTGACAGAGGAGAGGCAGAGGTCAGAGAAGGACAAGTTGCTGAGAAACAAGTACATGGGTGTGTGCAGATGGGAGTCCAGTAGAATGAGGATGATGATGATGAGGTTCCCCAGGACAGTGGTGAGGTACATGGCCAGAAACAGGGCATAGAACAGGTGCTGGTGCTCTTGGGGGATGGGCAGGCCCAGGAGGAGGAACTGTGAGACAACAGTTTGGTTGTTTCCAGTCATGACCTGCATCAAAGACTTTAAAATAATAATTAACAATTTAATAATTACCCAATGGTTGTGCCTGTGTGAGATAAATGAATTCTACTCTTCATCTCATTTGCTAATTTAGAAAAAAAAATTTTATGTTCTGTAATTCTTACATTCTTTACTGTGGCGTGTAATAACCTTGATTTCTTAGTTTCTTTAGTTGTCCTTGGTAGTTGATGACCTGCTACTCCAGTAGTATATGCTCTGCCAGCACTCTCCCAATCCCAGTGAAAATCTCTACATCCCAGTGAAAGCAGCCATGATTCTGAAACATACATGGAGTATTATGTTGCATGTTCTTCAGTACTTAATCTCACTGTCATAAAAGTTATTGTAATCCCTACATCCAAATATGTTTAATCATTATAGTCACAAATGGCTTATCTTAATGTTGCATTAGCATGTTCTATTTTAGTCTAGTAGTGTCTAGTCCTTACTAATTGTTTCTGATATGCACAATGTATTGGCATATCTTGTTTCTGCCTGCCTGCTTATTCTAGAAAACTATAGTTTACTCAATTCTGTAGTTTTTCTGTGAATTTTCTTGATTGACTTTTATACACTCAATGCCCTTAATTTCATATGAGCTCCAAGAAAAACACTTATACTTTATTATTTTAGATTACAAATTGAAAATCAGTTATTGTTCTCTTTCTAACACAGATTCACTACCTAATTGCTCACTAATCATCTTACATGGTTTCCTCCACCAACATCTGAGGCTCAATACCTCCCAAGAAAAAGTTACTTCTTTTTTCCAACAGCTTTAGACTCACGCTATCTTGTTTCTCACACTACAATAAAATTAGTTTAAGATCCATTTTATTAGTTTTAATGCATTTTTCTTTTTTCTTACCTTGATATCTACTCTAGTATAGCATGTAGTTTCACATCTTCATCCTCTTCTTACCCTGACATTTAAAACCCTCCAATCATATTCTTAGAAATGGATTCCATCATTTCCTACCTGAAATATTAAAGTTAACATTCAATTACAACCCATGTCCCGTGTCTACACACTATTTTATTCAATAATTTTTAATCCACACTGGCATTCTGAGTTGGAAATACAGTCCTCTCTGTTAGTAGTACTCATGTATCTGTACTGGCCTTCCCTTGAGGTTCTGAAAGGAAAAATCCTCAGCTGCAGCCACAAAGATCACCATCTGTGCATATTCCCTATAGTCTTTGATAAAAGGTGGGCCTTGCCCACCTCCCATCGCTTCCTTTTTCTTTCTATTTATGCTTTTCCACCTGTCTCTCTGCCTCATAGGCCTGTCTCACCTGTCCTCTCCCTCATTTCCCACTTTCCCCCAATAAAAAACCTTTCCACCTGAGTTCTGTCACATGGCATCTTTCTCTCTCAGGTTGCTTTTAAAAATTCCAAAGCTCTCTTTCCTGATTCTGTTCTCAGATGATCATCTTATTCTTAGACAAAATTCCTATCATGTGCACAAATGTTGCTTGCTTACCTAACTTCTATCAACCTCTACAGCCCATTATGTACTCACATGGTGCCTGCGTTCTTCTCTTCAGCATTGCTTTATTTCAAATTGAAGTTCATGCTTCCAAGATTTCTGATTTGGTGTTCATAATACCTATACATCCTCTCCATGTGGTGTGGCTTATCCCAGTACATTTCTAAAATATGATATGTCATATGCTATGTTGACTATTCCTTGTGTCTCTACCACAGTAAGATCTACTACTATGTTCCATCTTGTGCTCATCTCCCAATTACTGATATCTCTGATTACTGATTCACAGCTGCTTTTACTATACTGTAACTTCATGCAGGAAAAGCCATGCCACCCTCATACTGCAGCAATGCCAGTCCTGCCTCATTGTGACTTGGTATCCATAAAGATTTTCTGACTTTTGTGTTCCCAGAGACAAAGACTCTTTCAAACTTAAGGCAGAAATGAGCATTAAATTAAAATAATTACTCTTTTTCAATCTTCCCAGAATATAAACTCACTAAACTTAACCTTTTAGCTTGAAATTTCGATATTCTGTGATTAGCTTTACAAATGCAATTGTATATTCATGAAATTTTTTTTTTTTGGTTTTTCGAGACAGGGTTTCTCTGTGGTTTTGGAGCCTGTCCTGGAACTAGCTCTTGTAGACCAGGCTGGTCTTGAACTCACAGAGATCTGCCTGCCTCTGCCTCCTGAGTGCTGGGATTAAAGGCGTGCGCCACCACCGCCTGGCTCATGAAAAAATTTTAAAGCAAGTAATATGCAATGCTCATTTTGATAATATTAATGACTAAAATATGGCTCAGTTCATATGATTTCAATGATAGTGATATAGAAAATATATATGATGAACATTTAACAAAGCAGCTGTTAATTTTATTCTTCTTTTGATATCCATAACTAACTTAATAATTAATTATTATACAAACTAGTCTAGGTCCCAATAGCAATTTGGCTAAATTATAGCTTTATTTATTTCTGTGAAAATGTTTGACACTGTTACTAACATTCAAATTGTAATTAACATTAAATCATAGTAAAGTAACTCTAACCCTTCATTATGTGATGAGCCTCATGCAATCAGTTGCTGGAAGAAGCAGAAAAATAGTGTAGTATTGTTAGAATCTTCATCCAGACTGCCTTGGATTTGATATTGTTACCTTCACTCTGCCCAGGGACTCCAGTTTGCACCATTTTTACTTACTAATGCTCAATTGTGTGCACTGAATCTTTATAACAGTTTCTTGCCTTGTTAAGTTTTCTTCTAAATGACTGTATAATTAACCTCAGTCTATACCAAAGCTGGCAAAGAAGTCAAGGAGAATTACACAGAGATATATGGGAACAAGGGCCATAGCATTTAGCTCAGTGGTGGTACTTTAGCTATGTAGCATGACAAAGTTCCTAAATTCCATTTCTAACTGAAAATAACAGGAAAATTAACAACACAAGAGAGTTGGAAATTTCTTCCATGATACCATAGGATTGAGTCCAAGCTGCTGGAGTCTCCATCCTGCTAATGGTCACTAGGGGAGCTGCACTAAACAGTTTAACTCTTAGATGTTGTGTTTGGTGAAAAGGGGAAGAGCAATACAGGAGAAATCATGCACCTAGTTTCTCAGAATTATTCATGATCTGTGAATGAGTAGAATCCATGTTTTATGGAGGTTATGTGAAAAAATTTCAAAGCAGAGGTCATTTGTAAAGTTTTCTGCTGATGACTTAATGGACCTCATTTCTTCAATTTTTTGAACTCGCAATCTTTACTTGAATACCAGATGACAATCTTCCTTGGAAACGTTTTTAGCAGTTAGCATACATGCAACTCTCTTGGGATTCTCTGAAAACACTGGTGCTGGTTTTGAACCTGATATTCAACTTTATAAATGGACACTCAGGCGATGTCAATACTTTTGTTGATGGGTTGCAGTGAGAAGCAAATATGTGTATTACTTGAAGTTATAGACTTCTGAGCTCTTTTTGATAAATCTGTTAAATATTTGCTAATGTTCCAAAGCTAAAGATGTTTTAAATGAAGACATAAGACATCATTTACCCTACCCTGATACTAGATTGATATGGAAAAAGAATTGCCCTGTAAGTAACTGTAATAATACTGAACATCACCAAAATGATTATCAAGGTGACTATGGAACAAGGTATTTCTAAAGTATGATGAAGTATTGCAAAGTATGGAAATGCAAAGAATTTTATCATACCTGAAAATTGCCAGTCATACTGAGCTAAAACTGGAAATGCAAGATGCATAAGTTGGAGGACAGTTGGGTACCTTCTGACATTTTATCTATGATGACTGAAGATGTATTAAGGTCACTGCTTCAGACCCTAGTTTCCTTTACTCATATAAGCACAGGAAAGAATAACCTCTGTAATCAGCACCTTCTTACAAGTCCCCTTCTAGTCATCTCTGAACCCAGGGGCTCTGCATCCCAGTGGAGTCCAGTCCTACATAACTCATTAGAGATACAATAATTGCCCAGGATCCATTCAGGACCAATTTTCTCAGTCTCCTGAGGTGGGATCTGATGATGGCTACTGATCAATCATAAATATACTTATGAAGAAGTTGGAAAATGAAGAGAATATCAATTAATATCTACCATTTGTCTGTTAATGAAATGGAAAGGATTTATGTGTAACTCCAGTATATATATTTGTGTAGGCTAAGGATGGGCTATTGGAAAATCACTAAAGTAATTGTAAAGGCTTTATGTTTGAAGAAACTGGCTGTTTTGATCTTGACTATCAATTTGTGGAGATGGAGTTGTTCTCAGAATTATTTGTTATACCCAAATTTCATTGGCATGTATATCATGCCTCCTCCTTCAATTCTCATCTTAGGTACATATGTCTTTTTCTTCATTTAAGTTTGGGGATGGACTTTTTATTTTTATCATTTCACAATGCACCAGATTTTGGTTTCATTTACTTCTTTTTATATTTTTTTTTCAAGTTCAACTGAGTACTACTGTGTGTGTCTGTGTGTTCATTTCACAATGGACCAGATTTTGGTTTCATTTACTTCTTTTTATATTTTTTTTTCAAGTTCAACTGAGTACTACTGTGTGTGTCTGTGTGTATGTGTGTGTATCTGATTGTGCATGTAATTTCTTTTTTCCTGCTTCCTTTGAGTTTGAAGCATTCTTCTTTTCTAGGTTACTAACACAATTAACTTTACATAATTTTTCTTTTCCAAATGTGTAATTACTCTAGCATATATTTCTCTCAACAATCTGCTTGCTGTTTTCCCAACAATTTTGATATTTATATTTTTCTCTATATTAATTTCAAAGTTTTTTAAGTCTTGAAAATGTAGCTCATTTATTATGATGTATCAAGCAACAACAACATAAGAATGAAACTATATGTTGATGGAGTAATTGTTTAAGTTATTCATAGGCAACATATTTGTTCATTCATAATTCTAGAACCTTGGAAAAGGGATCTACAACTACTAAGCAACATCACAGGATA